GAAAAATATAATATATATAATATATATTTTTTTTTTTTTTTTTTTTTTTTTTGTCTCCCAGGAGGCTAATTATATCATATTTGTTTATTGTATTTCTCGTAATCTTTCTAAGTTGAAAATAAAATCCTAAATAGTATTTATTTTCTAAATGTGTGTTTTATTGATATATTAAGTAGTATGATTTTATTCTTTGTGAATGGCCTTCACCAGTCATCAACACGCGGTTATTCTAGTAAAACATAACGCAAATTTGATCTTGATATTATATGTTTGATTTGAGGAAAATTTAACTTGTGTTATGTAGACAAATTATCTGATAGCGTCATAAAAATTGGGTGAATGATTTTATGATTTATGGAAATCTTAATTTTTATTTGATTATGAATTATTTATTTTAAAGGCTTTAATTTTGGGGAAAAACAGATCTTCTGGAAATACTATTTAGTTTAAATGATTTATTATTTTCTTTTATTTGCAAATCTTGTACAAACTTTTATTCATTGTGAAAGAAGCAGGGAAAGGGAGGCAATTTTGCTAAGTCATGATTTCGCGCGCTTTGTCCTTTAGAATGTTCTAGAAGGATTCATTGTGCAGTTGACCCTTAGGAAGGACGTACGTGACAGAAGGGTCAGAAGTTGCCACTTTACTTCGATGTAAGTCATCAGGTTTTGGCGATAAGGTCCGGTTGTTGGCTAAGTGAAAGGCGCGCATGCGCGATCACCCTTATTTCCTCATTCAGGGGTTGAAGCGCAAATTTTGCCCAAATTAAGGGGGGCGATAATTGAAGTTATTGTGGGAGCCCGCGTTTGTGAAGGAGAAGAAGAAAATTCGAGTATGAATCAGTGACTTGCTAGACTTACTCTCGTGGAATGGCAGTTACTTGCTAGACTCACTTTTTGGACGTTACTTACTTTTTGCCCGACTTTGGACTAGTTTTGTTGAAGGATTAAAGACTTTCAGGATTAAGACATTTGCCGGACTTCCAAGACTGAAGCATTTGTTAAGTTTCTGTGGATGAATAAGTGGTGAGTCAGGCGGATCACAGCCGACACTATCCGGCCGTCGCCTTGCTGTCGAAAAGAAAAAAAAATTATCCAGCGAGTATTAATTTCCAAATTATAGGGCCATGTTCCCCCTGGCCAATGTGAGATTTTATACTCGACATCCTGACTACGAGCTTGAAGATTTGCTCGGATGCTGGTTCGAGGGCTGTTTTCTACAGGGCTGTGCGAGCTGATTGTGTTGCCGAAAAGAAGGAGTCGGGGTTATCCGGAATTGTCCCAGTGGCACCGAAAAGCGTGGAGACTCCGTAGACGCCTGTGTTCCCCTTACGGAATGAATTTTTTTTTAGGAATTATGGTATTATAACCCCTTGAATTTTCTCCCAGAATGCAAGGCCAGCCCAGTACCTTTCCGGGTGCGTTTCAAGTCGTCAAAATCACAGATAAGTGCTTTATCAATTTTCCTTAGAACTTTTGGAAATTAGAACTTTACCTAAAATTGAATCTTAAATTCAGTCTACTGAAATTCAGTCATGATTTCGCGCGCTTTGTCCTTTAGAATGTTCGAGAAAGAATTTTCATTGTTAGTTGACCTTAAGAGAGGAAAGTACGTGACAGAAAGGTCAAAGGTTGCTATTTGTCTTTCAATGTAAGTCATTTAGGTTTTTGGCGATTGAGGGTCTGGTTGTTGGCTAAGTGAAGAAGGGCGCGCATGCGCGATCACCCTTATTTCCGCATTCTGGAGTTGAAAACGCAATTTTGCCATAAATTAAGGGGGCGATAAGTGAAGCCTAGTTGGAGCCCGTTTTGTGAAGGAGACGAAGGAAATTCGAGTTGGATTCACTTTTTGACTTTTTTACACTTTTGGACTCGCGCACTTACTGGTTGGCTGGACTTGTGGATGTTACTCCTGAAAACAGGTTGAAAAGGCGAGAGAGAAGATGTAATTACGACGAAAAATGTTTTCCCGGCGGGGAGCGGCAAATATGCTCCCCGGCCGCGTTTTGGTTAAGAGGCGAGACTCTCTTACACACTCACTCTTGGACTCTTGGACTCGCTGACTTCGGCTTCTGGACTTGTGGACGTTGCTCTTGAAACTGGCTGAAGGAAATTCGAGTTGGATTCTCTCTTTAACTGACTGGGGGTGGGAACTTACTTGGGACGTTACTCGTGAAGCTTGCTCTTGGGATGAGTAAGAACAGGCGAGCCGTAATTGCCTAGAAAAAACGTTCTGACCTGAAGCTGAAAACCCTCTTCCTTGCGGCGTGGCTCGTAAAGAGGCGAAATTTGAACGAGTTACCTGCGTGTTGACATAGGACTTTCAGGACCAAGCGGAAGCCCCCTGGCAGCAGTGCTCCCTGTTTCTGTTCTACAGTGGGAATTGGCGCCTACATTTTTAGAACCAGTGTCAAGATGAGCCCGCCGACATCACCTTGATAAGATACGAGTCCTCCACTTCAAGATGTCCCCTCAAGATAAGTTAATTTTTTTTTTGGTTGTTTGAACTTTAGGCAAGTTTTTTTCAAAAACTTCTTAGCAGTAAAAACAACTTCGAATCTAAAATTTAACCTCAGGCCTTAATTGTTTCCCTTTCCTTTCTTTTGAATTACCAGACAAACCTAAGTTTTTTTTATGAATTTAAATGAAAAGGACTCTCAGATGAGGTTAAGATTTTTCTATTGTGATGTAATTGAATAAACTGATATTTAATCTGGAACCTCTTACAGTAATTTTCTTATATATTTAATTTTTTTTTTCCTATTATTCTTGTATATGTTTTATGTTTTCGATCCTCTCACGGCGCGGTCCCGGATGCATTTTTTTCACAACGCAAAAATGCTGTCACGTTTCACTATACGATCACTAAAATTTTGTTAGTTGGCAAATTCTTAAGAGTTTATTTTCCCTAAGAGGAAGTAGAAACCGTTCATTTTCACGCAAGTAGCTTCATATTTAACATTTAACCTATAGGAATTTCAGATATAACAGGGTACCTTGAAGTAAAGCTATTTAACCTTGGTGTCGAAACTTTTCTATATAACATTGGTGCCGTGACCAGGATTCATAACATTATTTCCCGGCGTGAACTTAAGCAATTTAACACTTGTTAGTTGTGTTTGCTTGAAAGTACTACTTAACACTGGTGGGCATTAAATAGGTATGAAAACTGTAAATGGAGGATCCTAACCTATGTCGTTAGGAACATCATTTGCTCTTTGTGTTAATGTTATAAATATTAATAATGTCATTAACAGATAGGCGCGTTGTATTTAAATTTCAATTGATCAGTTTTCTAGAAAAGCTTCTGTTATAATTTGAAAGATAAGCAGCAAATATTATGTCAAATGGTATGGCAACTCTTCGGAAAATTGGTATTTTTTCCGAATCTGTAGTACTAGCTACCGGAGATGAGTAGACTAAAAAGCGGAACTGTTAATTTGTCGGTCTCTTGGTTATAAATAACAAAGATCGAGACGAGAAGCAAAGTGGTCCAAAAAAGTGGAAAGAATAATCTCTAGACTTCTTAGCATAAGAATCGGGGATGCCAAAATATTCACAGGATGAAGCATTGGGTTGATGCAGGAGTCTATGCCTTGGGGGAGGGTTAGTGAAAAGGGCACGTAATGCATTTGTTCTGAAGTTAAAATATTCTGGAGTAAAGGATCTTCAATTATAGGAAATGTAATTAAAAATTTTATTTTTTCTTAGTAATTATGTAGTATATAGCTGATAAATGCTATGGTAACATAACTTAATGTAACGTATTGAGAGACGAAATATTGGAAATCCAAGTTACAAACATTTCTAACGAGGAAAAGAAAATAAAGAAAACAAAAGAGTCACGAGAACATTTCAGAGACGACCACTTGCGTACATTTTAGAAACAAGTTCGTAATTTATTATGAGGGTAAAAAAAAGCGAAACAGTCAAATATCTTTTCATCAATATAGACAAAAATGAACCAGTTGTAATATAAGGTGTGTAATGTAGGGTATGAGAAACATCTTTTGTTAATTATAATAATGCCGCAAATGCTTACAGAAGTTGTCGATTAAATATTTTTTTAAATTACATGTAATTTAAATTTTATCAATTAGATAAATTTTTAAAAATAAAATAAAAAATATTAATTTTTAAAAGTGCATGTTTTGCTTTTAAAAATACTTAAGTTTTGTTGAGCAATTTTGAAGTAATTACAATTGAATGATGAACCTATTTATTTACAAAAGCCTCCTTTCTTGCATTTATTATTTTATTACTTTTCTACTAACATAGTTTACTGATTTTAAAAATTGCTATATTTATTTTTTGCTATTTATTATACTTTAGTTTTTAACAATTAGTTTAGTAAATCATTAAATGGCTACTATAATTGGAATGTTCTGCACAAAAGGAATAGCTGAAATAAATATCATTAAAATGTAAAATATCAGACTAAATTAACTATAACGCAGTTTACAGCATTATGATTATTATGTTCTAAACTGTTTCCATATTGGTTGGGCATTACTATATATATAAATGCATTTTAAGAGATACATAAATATGCTGTACATACATAAATGCATTTTAAGTTGATACATAATTACAAAAATAAAATTCTACAAAAACATCTGGGAAAATGGAAATTCATAATTATATTTTAGTAGAGGAAACCAAATGGCTTATACAAGGCTTAGGTGACTAACTTAAACAAGGCATCATTGCTTAGGTCCCCGCCGGGCTGTCATTTGGCGGTGATAAGAATGCATAAAATTTGCTTAGCCGCAGTATGTTCTAAAAGCATTTAAAAGTGTATTTTCATTTTGTACTTTCGCCCAGATATATTTATATAAAATTCAGTGAGAAGTACGAAGTTGCGTCAATGTCGTACTCTTAAATGGGAGTCATTTCTTCAGCATATTAACTAACATAAAATAAATAGTAAAAAAGTCTTGTTTTTTAAACCAGTAATTTTACTTCACGTTAAATTAAATATGGTTTATTTTCATTTCTTAGATATTACGTAGACGGTAGCAACGAAATACTTTATGAGAAATGGTTTCATTGTGAAAATTTAGAAGAATTTGGGCCATTGATTAAAGAATTCTTTGCATCCGAGCAGTATAAAACAGGCAAGCCAGTTCCTGGTGAGTTTCGAAGCATTTTTTTTATACGAATACGCATGTAATAACTGAAATTACGCTTTTTTCCAGAAATGTACATGTTCTGATACATGTTTTATTAATATTATTACGAATTTTATGTATGTAAATAGTTGTAATGATATTATATGTGAAATTCTAGTAACTCTTGATAATATAACATGAAATGCCTAAAAATTGCGAAGCTTCGCCGGAAGAATAATGTTATAGGAGCAATCCCATTTAACACTGAGGAAAATGGCTAGCGTAAGGCAGGCGATGGTTTTGGCAACTAATTTTTGTCGTCAAATTTGGCCATGAATCGCCAAAAGTGGCCAAACTTGCTGACCATTAGGCGACATTTTGGTTCGATCCCCGTATAACTATAATTGGTCTGATACCTATATGTAACTGTAAACATGTCCGCTTTTATGTAATGTAACTGTTGCCTTCCAACAATTTCGAGATATCGCAGGCGCTGGAAATTTCTCGGCAGACTGAGGAAAACTATTTAGGACTGGAGAGAGAATCACTTTTCAATTTAGTTCGGATTTAGCACAACTTTATATACTTTATTTATAATTTTATAGTACTATAATACACAATAAAAATATATATTAGTAAAATATATATGTATAATATCAATAAAATATGTATAAAGAAGTTGTTCGTGTGTGCACTAATAATTACATGTTCATGTTTTATTTATCGCGTGATTTAGCCTCACTTCTATAAATCATAACTCATTGTGATATATTGCTAGGATTCACGACATGCTGACTGGAACTTGAATTTAGGCCAGACCTAAAATTTTGGTTAGAACTGACAATTCTCCGTACGAACTTCGCCATTTAGATGTGCTTTGCATTTGCGTTGCCTTGCGTTTAAAGTTTTCAGTAGTTTTGAGTGTGCCTACTGATTGTCCTCTGTGATAATGAGAAGAACTGTACAAGTGCCTTTGTGGAAAAATTCCAGAAGTGTTTATTTTCGGAAAATATATTTTATCCATCTGTCATCGGTTCTATGTGCATTTAATTGATGATTAGGAACCAATATGCACGCAATAATACTTTATTTTTAGAAACTGTTTTGAATTAAAATTAATACTCGAATTTTAATATTCTCTTCAGACTCAGTTGCAGTGTCAACTATGATTGAAAGCAAGCAAATCTGCGTTGGAGGATAAATTTCTTTACATTTCTTCTGCTTTGTTTTGAAGAAAACACAGGTGTGTTTAAGAGTTGAAATTTTCAAATAGAGTAAAGCTATTATAGAATTAAATTTATTACTGAAATTTAAGTTTCTACTTTTTCATTCTATAGACAAAAATTTAATTTGATTTTAAATTTATTGAGGATATGAACTTTCCATATTTTTTTCTTATATTGGATTTAACACTGAATTTTACTGCGACTGTAAATTAAATTATTACTGCGACTAAAAAGCGGAACTGTTAATTTGTCGGTCTCTTGGTTATAAATAACAAAGATCGAGACGATAAGCAAAGTGGTCCAAAAAAGTGGAGGGAATAATCTCTAGACTTCTTAGCATAAGAATCGGGGATGCCAAAATATTCACAGGATGAAGCATTGGGTTGATGCAGGAGTCTATGCCTTGGGGGAGGGTTAGCGAAAAGGGCACGTAATGCATTTGTTCTGAAGTTAAAATATTCTGGAGTAAAGGATCTTCAATTATAGGAAATGTAGTTAAATAATGTATTTTATTTTTTCTTTGTAATTCGTATTCATATACATTCGTATGACGCAAACGGTGTACTCAATGCACGTATTTCTAGAAGTCTCATGTAAAGTTGATTTGAGATGATTTTTAAGCGTAATGAGGTTACCTCCTCCTCTGTTACAAAGATGGTCGTTGCGATATAATTTATATCCAGCAATTTAAAAACGGTCACAGCGGCGTAAATGAGTTTCATTAATAATCATTATGTCAGTATTATGTTTATTTAAAAAAGGAAGGACGAAAGGAACTCATTTCTAAGTTAAACTCTGTGAATATTACATTTCCTCCCCCTCCTCATGTTTTTGTTCAACATAAAATGGCTTTCTCTTTTTTCTGTAAATTTATCTCTTACGTATCATCTGTGAATTTGGTAAGTTTATTTTTTTTGTTGTGTTGTTGTATTTGTTTTTTTTTTTTTTTTTTTTTTTTTTTTTTTTTACTTACTTCTGTAAGCCTTGTGTAATACTATGTGGTGCACAAGGATTTAAAATTTTCAATAAAAAAAAAAAAAAAAATACAGTCTCTTGACATTTAATGTTATTTGAATTAAAATAGGCGATATTTAAATTACATACAGTATTATCTGTTATATGTAAAGTTCTTTGCAGAATTTTATGGGCCATATTCCGTGTTCATTAATAGATCGAATGCTTCCATCCCAATTTGGATATTGTCCAAAATGGGTTTTTATTTTTTACTGTATGGTATGCTGGCGATAAAAATGTTTTATTTCTAACAGTGTTGCCACTGCTCACTTTCGAATCGCTGACTTTGTTCAACAAAAATAGAATAAAGTTGTGCAAAATAGGAAATAAATTTAAAAAAATATCGAACTTCAAAATTTGGGCTCTGCAAAGCCCATATTTGGCGATGGACTGCGCGTATTAAAATTTCGAGGGCTTTAGGTGCCGTCGTTTTTCCACAGTCTGAGTAACATACATACACACATGCAGATTTTCTATTGTTTACTTTTTAAAAAAAAACGAAACATGGCGATAACATTTGACGGCAACAATTTCAAATTTTTAAAAATGATTCTGACACAAAAGATGAAGATGAGAAGTAGGTTTCGATATTAATAGCGCCTCTGGTGCTATTTAAAAAGAAAATGAAAACAAAAAAAAATCTGAAAGGGTTCCAATTTTACATTAAGCTGAGGGGGACGCTTTTTCAAGGCTAATTGAAAACGGGATTTGAAAAGTGATACTGACATACAGAGTCATTCGACGCAAAAACCGTTAGACATTGTTACGTCTTTCTGTTGCTTTGCTACCAGCAAAAAAGCAGGAAGAAATGTAAAGAAACCTCGTGCATAAAATATCCGTGCTTGAAGATGCATGCGATGTTATGCCAATGGAAAGGTTTGAAATCGATGTTTGGTTAATCATTCGTTAATGTTTGACGAAACACGAAATAGATAATAAAACAAATTCCAAATTTAGGCTTTCAGATGCTCATATTCGAATGGAGGACTTTGCTATTCAAAATTTGATGTCTATAGGTACCGTTGTTTTTTTACAGTGCGAGAAACATACATACATTTACGCACATTCTTCATTATTTAATATCTTTAAATATAATGCAGGGCTCTAATATTTGGTGGTAACAATTTGAAAAGTGATTCAGACTTTTATGGTGAACCAACGCGAAATGCCGAAATGAAATGAATACCCCTTCTGGGCTTAACGCCCTTTGGGCTAAAAAAAAAAAAAAAAAAAAAAAAAAATTGCTTATTTTTAGCATAAGAAATTACATCTAATAAAAATTTAGATTTTAATTTAATATATAGTTAGTAGCATTCATCTTTCGAATCGCACTACGGTGAAACTGCAACATTATTCTAAATTAAATGATTAAAAGGTTAACAATTGCAAGAATTTTTTTTTTTGTAAAGTCAATGATAAATTGTAAGTTTTGTAGATTAAATCGGATTCAGTATAATCGCGACACGTTTTTCTAAGTAAATAGATATGCAAATGGTTCTGAAGTACGAGAAAAATAAAGACATTTTTACAGATGCCACCAGTAATGGACTACTCGAGTTTTCTTTGCCTGGTGTCGCCATCTCGTGTGAAGTGCAGACATCTAATAACTTTACTAAATGCAAACTTCATTTTTGTCATACGGCGAAAGTCCAGCGAGAAATGATCAACTGTTCCTTATACTTGCCAACTGCTAAGTGCGAAAGCCCAATATAGGCAACAATTTGTCTGGTTTTGGTCTGCCAGTTATGAATTTGGCAATGAGAAACAGACCTAAGGGGGAAATTATTTTATACGAAATTGCAGCTTCGTGAATGTAACGTACATTTTCCGTTTACTTTCTTGACTTTTAAGAGGTACTTTTTATAATTACCAACTCATTAATGCATAACGCGTTCCAAACACAAAATTTTAAAAACGTAAAATAAAAAAAAAATAAACAAAAATTACAAAAACTTTTTTAAAAAGATCTGAAAGGTTTCAGATTTTAAATTTCGTCCAAAGGGGCGATTTTTTTTAACGTTTTGTGCGTTACCTTTAGTTACTAAATATCATGTTCTTTGCACTTAAACCATAAAATTCAGTTCAATAGCAAAGTCGCAAAATAATTTTAAAATGAGCATATCTTTACAATTTTCGATACACAGATCCGCGCGCTGGAGATAAAAAGGTTTTTTTTCCCCCGTAGAGTGTTGCCATTGCTCGCTTTGAAATCGTTGAGTTTTTACTCAAAAATTCGTTAAGTTTTACAAAATAAGAAATCGATTATAAACCAAATTCTGCATTTCAAATTTGATCTTCCACAAGCCCATATTCGTAGGAGGATTACGTCATTCAAAATTCGATGGTACCGAGCTCTAGGTACCGTTGTTTTATCACGATGGCTCTATGAAATACCGTTGTTTACATGTTGTGCGAGAAGATTTTTCATTATTTAATTTCTTCAAACATAATGCAGGACTTTAACATTGGGTGGCAACACAGTTTAAAAAGTGAAACGGACATTTATAGTGAACCAACGCAAAAATCGCAAAACAAAAACAATAGTCCTTCAGGGACAAAGCCCCTTTGGACTAAAAAGGGAAGAAAGAGAAGAAAAACCTAAATGTTTTAACCTAAAACATTTAAATGCTGCACTAAAGAGTTGTTCAGTTTTTATTGCTTTCATTGATCTCTGAATTTATCTGTCTGCTCTTGGACTGGCTTCTGCTGACACAACGTTTTTTGTCTTTTTAACTTTATTGTTAAACACCACTTTCTTCGCACTTACAGCCTATAAAATTC